GGATAGAGGATATTGCATGGGCGCGCGGAGATACGAATTTTGAACACGAGAAGATAAAATTCGTACTCCAAGCGGCCATGTAATGTTCTGCTTATTATTTAAGCAATAGAAAACTTTTTCCGTGTTTACATAGCCTGATAGCAACACGAGGGGAGGTTGGGAGAATTCGAGACAGTTATGCAAACCCGAGACGTAGTCGAGGCTTTGCATAACTGTCGAGAATTCTCCCAACCCCCCGAGTGTTGCTATCAGGCTATGTAAACAAAGAAAAAAAAAGTTTTCTATTGCTTTTATAAAATAAATACTGAGGGAAAACATTACCACTTGCAAGAAAATAAATCTTTATTTGAATTTGATTCTCATATCAAAATACAAATTCTCCATACATCACGAACTTCGATCGTTAGCCAATCAAATTTCGTGTAATAAACGCCAAGGAGTCAAATGTGAAGCGAGAAAGAATCGCTATTTTAAACATTTATCATTCTAAAACTTTAAAAAAATACAAAGAAATGTCCAAAGATTGAATAGAAATCTTAATAAAAGATTTCAGAATTGATTTTCTTTACGAAAGTGATCAAGATAAGTGAGTGTCACTCACTGGAATTCTCGGTTGAAAGAAACGTGGTTTTGCTCAACTTGACAGCCAGAAAACATGGCAGTGAAGTTGATTGTTTCGTCTTCAGGCCCGTAGATAGGATTTTTGTTGGGGGGGTGCTAATTTACAAAAAGTGGACCAACCATATACTTTATTTTTTTAAAGTCCCATAGGACGCATAGGTGTAGATAAATTATTAAAGTAAAATTGATTTTTTTTACTTAGTTTTACGTGAAAATATCATACCAGCCAAAATCTCGCACCCCCTGCACCCCCCTAGCTACGGGCCTGGTCTTGCCTCAATAAGATATTTTGTGGAGCTGAAGAGCTATCGCTGGAAAAAGTTTGAAGCTGCTGACTGTATCCTTGAAATACTTGTATTCCTTATCGGGCGGTGCATTTAAATCATGAGAAAGCACGTCGCTGAACAACCGAAGCTCTCCTGACGAAGGACGTGTGTTGTAGCTCCTGAGGGAATTCTCGTTACGGCGACCAACAAGAGATGGTCATGATCGATATTACGATSAGAAACACCTGCATGAGACCATAGGTTTATGCCTGTGGCCCTGGCACAAGTCAAAATTTGGAACTTCGTCTTCAAAATACRTTTTTGGGGGCGTTTTTTTCCTCGAAAGAAACTGTAAATTTTTGAACTTGTACCGGATCATCGGGAAAACACGAAAGTTGTGACGTCACAACTGTGTTTACATACCCTCATGCAAACATGGCTATAAACCAATCACAGCTTGCGTACTATTTAATTTATTTATAGATATCGATGAAACTTAAGAAATATATCAAGTTTTCGACACTAGAGAAAACCTGGTATTTCGTCGATATCTATATAATAAAATGTCGTTCTTCGCGAGTGTTTCTGAATGTTACTGTAATCACTTCGAAGAAGTTCAACATGAAAACAAGCATTTGATTTTGAGGGCAATAGTTTATTTTTTCTTGGTGGATTATCACAAGACCCAGTATTTTCACGCGGTCAATGTAATTCCTTTCAGAAAACTGGCTGTGATTGGTCAATCAATGAAAGGTCATAAATTTTTCCATCTTTTCTTCCAGTTAAAGTTCTCGACCAAATCAGATCTTTCGAAGAAGCCGTGGCAAGAAGTTCAAAAATTTAGCAAAGATTCTTAAACATAACAGCAATGCCAGGCGTAGAACAAAAACGTTTACAAAGATACGATGCACCAGAATGGGCAAAGCAAGTCGATAATATACCAAAACACTACGTCAAGGTAAATCGTGTTTGTTCTTTTTTGTCCGTTGTTTTTTGTTGCGAACTTCTCTCTAAGTACCCTGCGAGCAGAGGTTTTTTYYYCTGACCCTCCGTGGAGCTGGCTGTCGGGTAGAGGTTATTTTTCTGACCCCCCGTGGAGGGTCAGAAAAAAATTCTCTGCTCGCAAGGTACTCTCTCAGCTACCCTTTATTCGATTGCCAACATTAGATTCAATTTTTTTGATCGCTCGAAAACATTAAGCTTCATTAAGTATAGTCCTGAATTCCAATTCGATCCCCTTTGTCGGTTACATCGTCGTGTACGGGAATTGTCAGAGGAATTCTATTCAAAAATTTCAGATTTCGAGTAATCGGCTAGTAGTCGTACCCTACGATAGCATAAATTAAATAAATATTTTTTAATAGCGAATTCGCTTCGTGGTATAGTGGTTAGGTTTAAGTCCCACTCGTGTGTTCGGAAACCTATGACGTACTTTGTTAACCCGTACACGAGGATAGTACCCATATATCTCTAGTCTCCCTCGCATCCGTTTTTAGTGTCGGTCGTCCCGCAGCGCTCCCTCCCCAAAAACTCCTTTTGCCCCTTTATGCGAATTTTTTTTTTTTTTTTAATTTACTTTATGGCAGATTTTATTTAAAGTTGAGTAAGATTCATACATTTGGTAGATAAACAGCCAAAATATAAACCTTTATATCATCCTAGGAATTAAAGAACGTTATATCCGTGTATCGCACTTCGGCATCATGTGATTGTGGCTTCACGTGATTCAAGCAGTTTTCCTGCCCTCGCGAGTTATATTTCCGTCGTAAATGTTAGCAATTTAAAACATGGATCTTTCTGCTGAATATTCTTTGCTGACGAATATTTTTGTATATCTCGTTACTTACAGCTTGCACAACATAATACACCACTCCAAGAATGGCTTCTTCCGGATATTCCAAACGGCTTCAAGATTGGTATCAAAAGAGATGACATGACTGGTAGCAACATGTCGGGCAACAAGGTTAGTTCACGATCTCTTATTCTTCTCTTTTTTCCCCTTGATTTTTATGCTTCTAGGTTGCGTTTGAAGCTTGCGGTTCTTTAAGCTTAAATATTTCTTTTATCAATCAAATAATACACAAAACATGATCCGCCCGTTCGGACATATATTCAGCGTCAAATTCCCCACTCTACGGAACTTGACTATGGTCAAATGCCCGGGGTATGCC